GAGGAGCCACCAGTGGATACGCTGCTTTTTCTGACACTTCTGAAGCTGCAGGGCTGCAGGAGGGAGCAGTGGGGCCGCGTGTTTGGGTGCTCTGTGGTTCCTGCCTTGTCAGGACCTGCATGGCCACCACTCAGCTCGTCGCTTCAAAGCTCGTTTTGATGCCGGGGACAGGGATCTGATGTGTTTCTCCCAGCAGACACCATATCATCTCCCCTCCTGCTCTCTCCTTTGTCTTGCAGAGTGATCCGGACCACTGCCTATTTACTGTACAGCTTGCACGTGAACTCCTGCCTCTACTACTGGGCATCAGCCTACGAAGGACTGGGCTCTACCACCTGGGTCTACGATGGGGAAGGAAACAGGTACAAGCCAGGGCTTGGGTCCTCATGTAGCACAGCTTGCTGTGATGAGCTGGAGCAAGAAGGAAGTTATTAGGACACAGCTGGGTTCATAAAAAATCCTGAAGCAAAGGGTTGGAGGTGCCAGGAGAAGATGTGGAGGCAGAGAGAATGACAGGGAAAGGAGGGATGGCATGGCATGGCATGGCATGGCACAGGACGAGATGGGATGTGGAGTAACATGCAGTGCTGCAAGATGAGGAGGCTGCAGCTGGACTCAGATGGAAGGCAACAGCAGGTCAAAGAGGCTGAAAAACTGGGAACCTGGTGCTGGGAAACAAGGAAACTTGCCCTGGCTGAGCAGGATGGCGGTGTGAGCCCTGCTTCTGTTCATGTTGACCTGCTGCCAGGTCAGGATGGAGGCTGGAAGCCGTGTGTTCTAGGTGCCATGTGTCAGGCAGACCAGACCAGCACCCTCATTCCCAGAGTGTGAGACAGGGACTGGCCACCGCATCCCCTCGCCATGGCATTTCCAAGACACGTGTTATGTGTTTGTTGCACCGTTGGTGATAGATGCCACAGGGGGAGCACTCGGCTCATGAGCCGGACGCTGCCTCACAGCGGATGCCCACACCTGCCTGATGTACAACATGGGCAAAATAAACCACCGAGTAGCGTGTAATTAATTTAGCACTATGCAGTAAATTAGTTTCCTGCAAAAAAAGGGATGAGCAAGTGCATTAAAGACTTACAGTGAGGTGAGGGTGTAGGTGGGGACAAGTGACGGTCACCCAGGCAGCCTTAGTGCTGGTGTTGCCCGCCCTTCGAGTGCTCAACTTCCCATGCTGGTGTTGCTGCTGTTTAGTTATTTTGTGTGATATACATATCTGTATGTATCTCTAGGTGAAAATATAACATCCAAGGGAGTGCCCAAGAACAGGGAATCAAGAATTCATTTGACTATAGTAACGGGGCTGAAAGAAGCAGAAAATGAGAGTAGCCAGAGCAGCTGAGCCTCTCGCACCAAGGCTTCTGGAGGGTCCCTATGTCCCCTTGCTGCTGTAACATCTCCAGAAGCACCTGCAGGCGTGGTGGGGAGTCTGCAGCCCCTTAATTTTCCCTTCATCACTCATAACTACTCTCAGCAGGCTCTGGCGTGCCGTGGCCAGAGGATGTAAGCTCAGTGCTGAGGGATGAAGCTGGCCTTCACGCCAGAAATGCCTTCCAAGCTGTCTCCTCTTCTCCTCCCCAGCTACATCCGCTGCTACTACTGGGCAGTCAAAACCCTCATCACCATCGGGGGCCTGCCAGACCCCAAGACGCTGTTCGAGATCGTCTTCCAGCTGCTGAACTACTTCACGGGTGTCTTTGCTTTCTCCGTCATGATAGGGCAGGTGAGCGGGAGTCACGGGGGGTTCCCAGCCTCAGGTGGGGAAGGTTTCGGTGGGGTTGGTCTACAGGTTTATATCTCCAGGTCTGTTTTCCCCATGTGAGGACCTGCTTGTCACCAGTGGAAGACAAAAGATTTGGCAGATGCTGTTAGGACTCAGCATAGGTACTCTAGACCTATGTGATGGGTAAGCGACAGCAACTAAAACACCTCTTCCACCTCTTCCTCCCATGCAGATGAGAGACGTGGTCGGCGCCGCTACTGCAGGGCAAACTTACTATCGGAGCTGCATGGACAGTACCATTAAATACATGAACTTCTACAGAATCCCCAAAACTGTTCAGAACCGGGTGAAGACGTGGTACGAGTACACATGGCATTCGCAAGGCATGCTAGGTGAGATCCAAGCACTCCGAGGGTCGACACTTGGCTTTGCAGAACTGAAACGTTACTGTCAAATAGCACTACAGTTTCAGGGCGGGGGGTGGCTTATTTTACTCTGCTGTATGGGCTTGTTTGCCCACCTATAGAGTATATATATTGTCGCCTGGTTGCAGCACCACAGTGACCCAGCATCGCTCACAGCATGCTGAGTCCAGCATCCCACCTGCTGGTCCCTGGGGAGGGGGCAGTGACTGGCAATCCCTGGCCAGAGCGTGTCTGACAGCAAACCCACTAGCTCACCCTACCAGTAAATCATAGAATCACAGAATGGTTCGGGTTGGAAGGGACTTTAATGACCATCCAGTTCCAACCACCTGCCATGGGCAGGGACACTCTCCACTACACCAGGTTGCCCAAAGCCTCATCCAACCTGGCCTTGAACTCTTCCAGGTATGGTGCAGCCACAACTTCTCTGGGCAACCTGCTCCAGTGCCTCACCACCCTCAGAGGGAAGAATTTCTTCCTTAGATCTAATGGAAATCTCCCCTCTTTCAGTTTAAAGCCATTGCCCCTTGTCCTATCACTGCATGTCCTTGTAAAAAGCCCCTCTCCAGCTTTCCTGTAGGCAAGAATCATTGGGCAGCACCTCCGTGCCTGCTCTCCTGGCCAAGAAAGATGCTGGTTGGGCTCACCGGTCTGTCTCTGAGAGCCATTAGGGCAGCGATAATGCAAAGGGCAACTCTCTGCCACTCATCAACCTGTGAGTTGCTGGGTGGGCAGAGGCTGGGGGGGGACCCACCTGGGGGGGCGGCT